CGAATGGTATTATAATGTTATACTAAAACTAAAATTAAAATAATGGGAAAAACCCTTAAGATAACATGTCGAAAGAAAAAAACGCTTCTTAAGCGCGCAGAATAACATGAGTGGACGATTAATTGCCGCTTTGAACGATTACGTAATTGTGGCATCCGTAATTATAATCGCGATTAGAAATTCGATTAATTGTGCATCCCTAATATCAACCTATATCAAATAGGCATCCGATGACCCCTTTAACAAATGAAGTTTTCAGCACTTGTAACAGTGCCCTGTTTGCGTGCGCAGATCGTGAATCTGGAGGAGCAGCTGGAGCAGTTTCGAGAGGATCTGGAGAACAAGAGCGAGGAGGTGAATCAGCTCCACATGCAGCTGGAGATCCAGAGGAAGGAGATCAGCAGCCATCAGCAGGATCAGGCCCGGCTCGCTCAGGTCCGCTCTCATTATACACTGTGTTTGTGAAGAGAGAGCCAGAGCGCTACTCCCATCCTTACCATCCTTATCCATTCCAATGTGGTTAAAAAAATGAAGTCAAACATATTTGTGGCTCTGGGCAGTCATAAGTGTCTCTTTTTGCAAAACATTTAATTGCTGCTGAATACCATGAACAAAAATCAGCCAGCTACATAAAAACTGGACTAAGAGCTGTTTGTCTGCAAGAGCTGCTCAAGTCTGGATAAATTGAGACTTTCTTTTTTTTATGGAGGTTGTATACTGTTTTTATTAATATCATTACACTTTATTTGCTCTGTTTTAAAACCTTAAACCTTACTACGTATACGGAATAACCGTTTTATAAAAGCAGTAAGCCCCGTGAAGCCGTGGTGAATTTTATTTTGTAAATTTCCTACCGTAAATATATCAAAACTTAATTTTTGATTAGTAATATGCATTGCTAAGAACTTCATTTGAAAAACTTTAAAGATGATTTTCTCAATATTTAGATTTTTTTGCACCCTCAGATTCCAGATTTTCAAATAGTTGTATCTCGGCCAAATATTGCTCTATCCTAACAAACCATACATCAATGGAAATATTATTTATTCAGCTTTTGGATGATGCAAAAATCTCAATTTCGAAAAATTGACCCTTATAACTGATTTTGTGCTCCAGGGTTGAATATGAATCAGTGTGAGTGTCGATCAGAGATCATCTCGACGCTAATCTTAGCTAAATCGCCTCCCGACAGACAGGACTGTCCTAAATTCAGAGTCATGTGATGATGTTTAACTCTTGAAGGTCTTGGAGGAGAAGGACAGGCAGATAGCCGTCCTTAACGAGCAGCTCGCTAAGCGTCAGCGCGCGGGAACAGACCCTGAGAAAGAGGTAAAGACGTATGCATATGTGTGGACTGTCAGCGTGTGGCGCACACATATGCATATAGCAGCAGCCGTGTGTGTGTGTGTGTGTGTGTGTGTGTGTGTGTGTGTGTGTGTGTGTGTTTCGTCTGTCTGGTTTGGTGCATCTCATGTCTTTTGCCAGCTTGTGCTCGCATCTTATTTTTAGCAACATGGTGAAATGCATGAGCTTCTGTTTAAAGAGTGTGGACAGTTCATTGCATCATAAAGAACTCAGTGCATTCTTCAAACAGGATTTATTTGCTATTATTCAGAGCAAACCGGTTCATCCATGGTTTTACTGAATGGAATTCAGCCTCAGATCCTGTGGATCGATTCATTTGCTCATCCGTTCGTCGTTTTGATGTGGTTTGGTGTTTGTTCTGCAGTGTGTTTTACTTTAATTCATCTCACAACCTCCTGGTGAAAGGGATAGTTTGACCGAAAAGGAACATTACTCGCCCAAAACCCATGTTTAGATTGTGGAAAATGAAATGAGATGTTTAGCAGGATGTTCACGCTGCTCTTTTCCACACAGTGGAAGTGAAATGACATGAAAGTGCTATAATATTATTATAAAAATAGTCCATATAACTCATGCATCAGTGTTGCATTAGTATCATTTATATATCTTTTTTAAATATTTTGTATTTATTTTTATAGTTTCAGTTTTCATTTTCATTTTAGTTACAGTAAATTTGTGTGCTTTTGTCATTTTATTAGTCTATTTATTTTTTAAATGTCTATATAGGTTTTATTCATTTTTATTTATTATAGTACATCAAGTTAAACTAAAGGAAAACGAGAAATTGTTGCCTTGGAAATCAGCTTAAATAAAATACCTTTTTATATTTCTGTTTTATTTTAATTAATATTTATTTTAGGTAACAAAGTAACCATTTTTTAAGGGTTTAGTTGACTATAATAACCTGTCGTGCTCTACATTTCAAAGTTTATTTATTTATTTTTATTTTTTATTTTTTTTATTTTATTTCAGGTTTAGTTTGTTACTTTAGTGCATTAAACTAAACTAAACTAAAATGAGAAATGTTGCTTTAAAAATGTAGCTTTAAAAAAAGTTACATTATTTATATATATATATATATATATATATATATAAACATTAGTTTATGTAAATTAGCATTTATTTTAAAGTAATTTATTTATTCATTTTTAGGTTTTAGTTGTATTTAATTATAATAACTCTGTCATGCTCTATATTTCATGTCTTCTGTAACTCTGGGTCACTGTATGAAGAGAGTAGCCAGTTTATTGTCTAATGCGTCTTCTTTTTGTTCCCTGAAAAAGTAATACGGGTTGATGATGACAGAGTATTTATATTTGCATAAAATATTCCTTGCAACACTGATATATTTGAGTCAGAGGGTGTTTTCGAAGCTCAATGAAAGTGCCTCCGATTCCTAAATCTTAGTCTTTTGTGATTTTAACCAAATATCTGTTCAGTATTTTAAAGGAAATCATCAAAAATAGATATTTTGTCATCATTTCCTCAAGTTCGTGTTGTTCCAACCTTATATTATTTTCTTTTTCAATGAAATGCAAAGAATGTCTCAGCTTGTTTTTCCTATGATGAAAGTGTTTATTGTTTTATACTGCTGATACCATAATAATTAATATGACTCATGCTCTATATTCCTCCTGAAGTCATGTGATCAATGGACTCTTCAGTTATTCAGAGGAATGGTATGCATATATATATATGAATATATGGAATATTTAATAAGTGATGCATCAATATTTCAGCAACCAAAAAGAATATTCACCATATTTTTCTTCCATGTTTCAATTGTAACCATAAACCTCCTTTGTCTAGTACCTTGTTTGCCAAAATTTAAAAGGAATTGTTCAATTTTCTTTTGATTACATTTTAAAGGGTTAATTTAATTGTTCAAAATTTCTGGAAAAAAAAAACACTTCATAGGACAATTTAATAATGTATTTCTTTTTTTTACAATAACAGGTTTATTATTATTAATACATTATTAATATCAATATATTAAATTTATTAGATATGCTTTTTAATTATTAAAATGTAATTAAACTATTAAAAAAGAATCCAGAAACATTCAAATGTAAAAAAGAATTTGGGATAAATATAATGGAATTTTGGGAAAAAAAAGAAAGTCATAAAATAAAAACAAAAGAGAATTTGGGGGGGGGGGGAGAAGGAAAATATTGTTAAAAAAAATAAAATATTTGAGTAGGGCTCTAAAAATTGAATTTGTTACGTTTTTAATAGTTTTTAACAAATTGTTGTTAAATTGTAAGTTTCATGAATTCAGTTGCTTTTTGATTACTAAAATTTAATTTAGCCATTAAAAAGGAATCCTGAAAAAAATCAAGTGGATAAAGTGCGTCACTACATTTAACATTGCTTTTTGCTTTTCATTTTGAATCTTGTCAGTATAAAGTGATAAAATAAAGCCACCAGCTTTAATTGTATGTGAAACAGCAGCTCAGACATTTGACAAAATATCATCTTTATAAAATAATACTGGGTTGGAACGACTTGCTAAATGATTTTCATTCTCGGGTGAACGATTGAAGAAAACTCTGAGATTAAACCCAAAGGGAACGAGAGGCGACTCTTCTCTGAGCTCGTGTGTTGGTCTGCAGGCGCAGGTGGAGGAGAAGGACGAGGTTCTGCGTGAGCTGGAGGCGCAGGTGGAGTGTCTGCGGAGCGAGCAGGAGCGTCTGAAGAGGAACAGCGAGGAGGAGGTGGAGCAGCTCAACGCCGTCATCGAGAAGCTCCAGCAGGAGCTGTCGCGCATCGAGCACAAGCAGCCGCAGGACGAGAGCGACGAGATGAAGCAGAGGATGGAGGAGGCTCTGCGGGAGAAGACGGCTGCGCTCGTGGTGCTGCAGGCCCAGGTGCAGGCGTTGGAGGAGAGCGCAGGGTCACGGGTCACGAGCTTGAGTCGGCGGGTGGAGGAGCTGGAGACCAGCGTGGAGGAGAAGGACTCGGAGCTGCGCGCGTGCAGGTTAGTGTTCATTACAGCAACCTAAACTGTGCTGAGAAATATTCCTCGAGTTTTCATGCGTGGGTTGCCAGATGTCCAGAGTGTAAATCCCCCTATTTAGTGAGTAAGTCGAGATGACACTCTGGCTATATCAACATGCAATATTATTGCTGAGAAAAGACTAAAATGTAGTTTCAAAAAATAAAAACTCAAAATTCTACATTTCTCCAGGGGTAAAAAAATCTATCTCTGTGAGTTTTCATGCTTGGGTTGCCAGATGTCAAGAGTGTAAATCCCCCTATTTAGTGAGTAAGTTGAGATGGCACTGTGGCTATATCAACATGCAATATTACTGCTGAGAAAACACTAAAATGTAGTTTAAAAAAATAAAAAAAACTTTAAATTAAAAATAATCTAAATTCAAGAATATCACGATCTCTGTGAGTCTTCATGCTTGGGGTTTCCAGATTTTAAGAGTTTAAAACCGTGATGAGAAATATTAGTTGACGGCCTTTTTATGACTAAAACGAGATGAAAACGAGGCAACACAGACATCATTAAACTTTAACTGTGACTATATCAACTTGCAGTATCACTGATGAAAAAAGTCTAGACTAAAATTAAAAAGAAAAAACTCAGTTCAAAAAATCTCGATCTCTGCGAGTTTTCATGCTTGGGTTGCCAGATCTCAAGAGTGTAAATTCCCCTATTTAGTGTTAATTTAATTAACGAAAACAATGATGAAAAATATACCTTGACGGCTTTTTTTCCATGACTAAGACGAGATGACTCTGACATCATTAACTCTGACTATATCAATAAGCAGTGTTGTTGATGAAAAATTTGCAACTAAAATGTAGTTTAAAAAATAAAATCTCTCTTTATACAAAATGTCTCTATATATATTCTTCAATATAAAAATAGAGAAAAAATATAGACCTCCACCAGTTTTCATGCTTGGGGTTGCCAGATGTCAAGCGTTTAAATTCCCTTATTTAGTGTTAATTCACTGACTAAAACTATGGTGAAAAATATTTGTTGACGGCTGTTTTTTTTCCAAGACGATACAGACATCATTAAACACTAACTGTCACTATATCAATATGTAATATTGTCGATGATAAAAGATGCAACTAAAATGTTGTTTTAAAAATAAACTCTCTATATCCAAAATTTCTCTATATATTCTTCAACAAAAACAGAGGAGAAAAAATAGACCTCCAGCAGTTTTTGTGCTTGCAGTTACCAGATTACAAAAGTGTAAATCCCCCTACTTAGTGTTAATTTTATTACAGAAAACAACCTTTTTTTTCCCATGACGAAGACAAAATGACACTGACATTATTAAATGCTAGCTGTGACTATATCAACATGCAATCAACATATAAGCAAAAATAAAATCAAACAAATTCAAAATTCCAATATTTCTGTTTCTCTTAAAAAAAAAAAAAAAAAAAAGTAGAGAAAAAAAATCTAGATCTCCATGAGTTTTCATGGTTGCGGTTGCCAGATTTCATTTTTCTGCCAGATCGGGTATCGGTCAGATGAGACCGATCCAAATCGATATTCTGCATATACTATTGTGTTATTGTTAAGCCTCATGAAAGCACAAAAACATTATAAAGCACCATAAAGTCAAAGTCCAAGTGTTCTGAAGCCGTTCCATAGTTTACTGTGAGGTACAGATGAATTTTTAAGTCGTTAAATTCAAGTTCACGTAAACTCTTCTCTCCGCTGCAGCTGTCCTATGATAGGACAGAAAAAGAAAGGCTATTAATAATCTAATGTATAGCACAGCAATGGAGGCAGCAACATATGATAGATAGGACTTTTGCTGCCTTCATTACTGTGCTATACATTTAAAAGATATGTCTTGTATTTATTTATAAATATAAACTATAAAATTTAATTGACTTGTTTTCATTAATGTATTTTACAATACAAAGAGCAATGTGTAACATTTTACCAGATTTAGTCCTACGCTTATTCACTTTTATTTGTTCCCCTCTAAATAATGTTGTTTCACTAAATGTTTAGATTTTATAAAATTGTGCACTCATGATTTTTCTAGAATAACTTTTGCTGCTGAATTATCCACTAACCTAGTTTATAATAGTATTTTTGTCATAGATTATGATATATTTTTTCATGTAATTTTTCATTACAATTAAGTTGTCTGTATTTAGTAGATTGTGTTTAACACACAAAAGAGTGATGATCAGGTCAACACACAGAAGTAAAGAAATTCTACATTGATTAAAAAAAAAAGCACTGGGATCGGATCGGATCTGAAAATATGGTATCCTTGCATCCCTAATTGAGATGCAAAATCATTGAAAAAAAAAGACGAGAAAAAATAAAAACTGTTTATATCCAAAATGTTTCTGTATATTTTCTTCAACAAAAAAAAAAGAAAAAGAGAAAAAATAGACCTCCATGAGGTTCCATGCTTGCATTTGCCAAATTTCAAGAGTATAAATCCCTCAGTCAAATAAATGACAACAATGATCAATAATTGCAATTTACAATCAGTTTAACCATTATGCAGCATGGCTAAAATGTGTCTTAGTTTTAATGGACTAAAACGAGACTAAAATACCCAGACTTTGTCAACTAAAACTTGCCTAACCCACAAACAGGACTAAGACTAAATTACAAAAATTCACACTAATGCAGGTTGAAGGTGGAACAAGTGCAAAGGTACGCCGACACTCTGTATGCTGAAGTGGCTCAGCTGGAGGAGAAACTCAGGGAGAACGTGGCCGCTGTTCTGGTCAGTCAAGCACAACTGGAAGCCATCCAGACGCAAACCAAAGAGCTCCGCGCTGAGGCACACGCAGGAGAAGCCATGGGCCTCAGCGCGCAGCTGCGGTCGGAGGGCCTCACGGCGCAGGGTGGAGCCTCCACAGGGAAGACGAGCCTGCTGACGGAGAAGCTGAAGGAGCTGGAGGAGGGTCTGAGCGGGATGCAGAAGGACCAGGAGCTGCAGAAGCAGCTGTTGAGAAGCTCTGAGGAGGAGGTGATGGAGTACGAGAGGAGGTTAGCCGTGATGATCGACCTACTGAACCAAATGAGAACCAGACCAACCCATCACAGACTGTCGCCGCCAGCTGAGGTGCTTCACTGTTATATTCAGATATAGGACTGTTAACTAGGACAAACTCTGATTTTACTAAAAACAAATGTGATTGCAGTTAAAATAAAAGGCTCCAGGTTTATTGTGTTAGTTTGTAGGGCTGCAAAGTTAGGCCAAAAATTTTGTTTGTATATCAATATGACTATATAGTGGTCAACCGATATGTTGTCATGACCGATATTATCGGCCGATATTTGGCATTTTTTTATTATCAGCATCAGCCGATAAGTTTTTATATTTGGCCAAAAATGTTGTTTGTATATCAATATGACTATATTGTGGTCAACCGATATATTGTCATGACCAATATTTGGCATTTTTTGCCAAAAATGTTGTTTGTATATCAATATGACTATATTGTGGTCAACCGATATATTGTCATGACCAATGTTTGGCATTTTTTGCCAAAAATGTTGTTTGTATATCAATATGACTATATTGTGGTCAACCGATATATTGTCATGACCGATATTTGGCATTTTTTGCCAAAAATGTTCGTATATCAATATGACTATATAGAGGTCAAACGATATATTGTCATGACCGATATTATCGGCCGATATTTGGCGTTTTTTTTATTATCGGCATCAGCCGATTAAGTTTTTATATTTGGCCGATAAATGGGACTTTTATTTTGACAGCACCTAAAACACAGGAGCTCCATTTCATCACCATTATTAGTTTACTTTGTTTGGTTTAGTTTATTTTTTATTAGCTTTTGTTTAACAGTTCTGTCAAATAATTGAATGGCAAATGCTAAAATACTTTTTTCATATGTTGTCTCGTTGTTTTTAACATCTTTATTTGTGAAATACTGTAATAGGGTTACAGAATCAAGAAATTCCTATCGACAGTATAAATCTGTTTGTTTTACAGTGTTTTTATCAAGTCCAAATAATTTTTTTAAGTCGATTCATTTTTATTCATGATTTAATGAATTTGTCATTATTTTAGTAAATATTATAAATGATAAATATAAATTTACCATATAGTCATTTACTATCTTTAAATAAGAATTAAATCATTAAGAAAATGTATTATTTACATTTTGTATTTAAAACATTAAATAATAGTCTTTAAATAATTAATATTGGTCAACCACAAAATATGACTTTAAAATAATAGTTTATAGTATCATTATTTTGCTTACTATTTCTAAATAAAGTATGAAATTAAATCTGAAATATTACTGTTGTAATATTCACTGTACAATAAAAATATATTAAATATATATATCATTTTAAACCGTAAAATTACAATATTTATAGCTGTCTTAATTTCTTCATGTTTCGAAAGTTAAACCATAGAGCTTTTATTTTGGCGGAAAACATTGTTAATGAACAGTGCCACACGTCACTCTGAAACACACAGCTCATATATTTCTTGAATTAAATCACAGCCTTTGTGATTTTATAGTTCCACTAAGCCAAGTGATGATTTTGGTTTTATTTTGATTAATCATGCAGCCCAGCTTAGTGTTTGAGATCATCTGAAGAGATTCTTTCTGTCCGCAGGCGTCAGGTGAGGCCGGTCAGTCGCTGTCAGAGCTGCTGCAGGAGGTCAAAGGTCAAGCTGCGTCCACTAAAGAGGAGCTGAACTGCTACAGAGATCTGAGCCACAAGCTTCAGGAGGAGATCGAGGTACAAACACCTCGTCCTGCTCTTCTTACAGGACACACTACTCTTCATACACACTGCTTTGTGTTTATACGCAGTAACGTGAGGTCATAAAGAAGGAAGTTGGATAGATGCTATTGTTCCTGAACAGCAGAAGAACTAATAAGAAGAGTAAAATGAGTCAAAACTTGTGTCTGGGTGGATCAGTAGCTATGTTTCCATCCAAAAATGCGATTTAAACTTGTGCGCAGAACTGGAATATCGCATAAAACATTTCCAAATAAAGCACTGTTTCCATCCAATGAGTCAAAGAGAACAAAATCGTCACTTCCTGATAAACTCGCGCTTAAATACTTTGAAATACTTTGATGACAGACTTTCCTCAGGCATTTCAGAATGATCATAACAACGTATAGATGCTGTGAACGCGATTAGTCCCGTTTTCCCGTCCCATCGCACAAGTCACATGACTTTTTTTGATGCGCATAGTGGAATTTATTCGGTAAATGTGTTTCTATCTTGAGTTTATGTGCATTTTTTTTCTTATCGGATAAAAAGTTTATCCTACTCAATTCTGCGCATTAGTTTTTAATGTGCATTTTCTTTTAGAATTTATGCGCATCTTGGCGTTTCCATCCAGCGTTTTTTTTATGTGATATTCCAAAATGCGCATAAAAATAGGTGGATGGAAACATAGCTAGTGTTGTTTTAGTATCATACTGTTGTGGTTTTTATTAATGGTTTGAATTAGTTTTTATTTTATATTTTAGTTAGTTTTTTTTTTTTTAAGTTTTTGTCATATTTATTATAATTTTTTTTTTAAATATCTTTATAGTTTGTATTCATTTTTATTTCAATTTTAGTTATTTTAGTACTATTTTAGACATTTTGCCTCGGCAACTAACTGAAATAGATTTTTTAGATACTTTATTTCAATAAATGTTATTATAAATTTTAAGTAGCTTTTTTCATCATTTTAGTTTCTAGTTAATTTTTCTTAATGCTTGTAGGGCTGCACAATTTATATTTTTTATTATGATTATTATTGTGAAATAAAAACATTTTAATGTTACTATTGCAGTATTTCACTAAAACGAAAGTTTATTTAAGAAAAAATTAGGAAAAGTTTTTTTTGTTTTTTTTTAAGTAACAAATATTTTTATAGTTTTAGTTAAAAAACAAACAACGGTGTTTTAAAGGTGACATATCATGAAAATCGGACTTTTCCAGGTTTTAAGTGCTATAATCAGGTCCCCGGTGCATCTATCAACCAAGGAAACGTGAAAAAGATTAACCCAGTAACTTTGTAAACTTGTGTGTGAATGAGAACTTAGTTTAGTACTCGCATGCTGTGACAGCCGCTTTCTGTGCGTGTGCTTCGCATGTGTGCGCTCAGAAAACCATATATCAGAAGTTTAAGCTCATATAGTTTAAAACGCATGATTTCAGCGCGATAAACATGATAATCAGAACCAAAACAGATGTTTTTAGCAGGTCTGAGCTGTAATGGCGCAGCTCTATTCTGGAAAAGGGGGCGGGGAGCAGCAGCTCATTTGCATTTAAAGAGACAGGCACGAAAAACAGCGTGTTTCTGCTTCCACTCAAAATAGGCATTTTCTAAATGATCTGTGGGGTATTTTGAGCTGAAACTTAGACACATTCTGGGGACACCTGAGACTTATATTACATATTGTAAAAAGGGGCATAATATGTCTCCTTTAAAAACACATCACATCGGTTTAACAGCGTTTAAACTCGTGTCTTCAGAAGGATCTGCAGAGCTGTAAGTGCTACACACCTGAGTTTCCTTCTGAGTTAAAACAGATGTGATGTTTTTAAACACTGTTGTTTGGTTTTTAATGTCTGTGAATCTCAGATTCCTGTTTTCTGCTGTTTCTTCATCAGATGAAGGAGAGCACGATCACGCAGCTCCAGACGGCCCTCAATCAGGTAGAGAATGAAACTTCAGCTCGTTACTAAATTTAGCAACTTTTCAGATTACCCTAGCTACTTTTTCTTCCAAATGCACCTAGCAACACATTTAGCTTTTTTAAAAATGTATTTGGCAACTTTTGATAAGTGACTCGGACAATAAAAAGACACATTTGCCATTTAAATTACACAAAAAGAGGAAAGATGCCTAGCAGTACACACATCACGTGAATTAATTTAGCTGCTTGAAATTGTTTATTTCATAATAGGCTAATAATAAATGAATGATTGTTCATTTATGATACACTTTGTTAGTAGCTTGTACCTGCGATTGTTGATCAGTTAGTACACTGTAAGAAAAATATCTAGAAAAACGGAAAAGGTACTAGTAATTTTCCAGGACATTATCCGTTATCCATTATCCGGTGAACCCCTGTAAACTGAAAACGCAAAATACAGTGCGTAACTAAAAAAAAAAACTGGAAAAATCAATACAGAAAAATCCTTCACATTAACACAGTAGATTGTGCCATATTTTTACACACTTTTCTTAGAGTGTAGCATACTAACTAATAGGGTTGCAGAGGGGTGGAAAATTTCCGGAAACATTCCAAAAATCCCTAAAATATTCCCAAAAATCCTGGAAAGTTTCCAAAATTTCTGGGAATATTTCCGAAATTTACTGGAAATTGTCCACATTTTTGCAACCCTACTAACTAGCTACTAACACACTGCTTAAAAGTATAATTGTTCAGAATGTGTAGTACTTGTTTACGAGCTAATAACTAAAAATTTAAATTGTAACCGTCCAAAAATGTGTAGGTTTTCAATAATTCAATGCATTTAAAAAGTTATTTATATTTTAATATTATATCATGCATTTATTACTTTATGAACAAATCTAAATGAACATATGTAAAATGTATTAGATGCAGTGACACAATGTTGCGTTGTGATTACGTGATGATGGCATCACAGCGTCATTTAGCAACAAATCAACCTTTCCCCTGGAAATGACCTCGGCTCAGCGCTAAACCTTGACTTCCTGTTCCTCCGCGCAGGTCTCCGCGAGCACGCGTGAAGAAGACGCTGCTGAGACGGCTCAACGCCTCCAGGAGGTCAGAGGTCAAGCGAGCTGCAGGGATCAGAGCGCCAGACTGCAGGTGTCTAGTGTTTCACTACAAACTCGCTTCACTTCAGCTGTTAATACAAACTAAAACCAAATCACCATATTATTAATTATAGATTTAATTAAGTAAATATATGCGATTTCATCCAAATAAAAGTTTGTGTTTCCATAATAAATGTGTGTGGAATGTGTATATTTACTCACATATTCATGAATATATTTAAGATATACTGTGTGTATATATATATATTTGTCATAAATAAATATAAACATATATTACGTAAATTTCTTAAATATATACATGTATGTGTGTATGTGTATATATGTATAAATATTCACAGTACACACATTATGGAAACAAACTTTGGTTTTGGATGTGATTAATCGCGATTGATCAATTTCACAGCACTATATATTATATAATTTTTTAGAATATTATTAATAATAAGTATTTTATCTAAATTGATATGTTGTTACAAAATTTAGGCAAAATACAAGCAAGCACAGGAAACGTGATTTTATTTTAAATCTTTTTTTTTTACTAAAACCTTATTTTAAATTGCAGAAGCAAATTTTAGAAATGTCAGAAGTTGAGTGTGAGAGAGTGAGTGTGAGAGTGTGTGATTGTATGTGTGTGTGTGTGCGCGTGTGTGCGTGTGTGCGTGTGTCTGTGTGTGAGTGTCTGTGTGTGAGTGTCTATGTGTGTGTGTGAGTGTCTGTGTGTGAGTGTCTATGTGTGTGTGTGTGTCTGTATGTCTGTGTGTGACTG